CTGTCGAGCTCCAATGCTGTGGCTAATGAGAAACAGAAACCCTTAGAGCAAGATTTATGTTATTAACATGACTCACTCTCACTTAAGCCATTATACCTGGGGGATCTGCCTGTCCTTCACCACAATTTCTAATCTCATGTTACGAGAAATTAGAAATAATTCTCATTGACATGTAAATCAGGAGAAAATTATTTATTCTTACCTTGATCCTCCATCTTTCCAACAATAACCATAGCTCTGTAAGATGACGAACCTATGAGCTGTCCAAAGGCTCGGTGGCATTTTCCAATATTAGCCAAGTGAAACAGGAGATTGATACCTCCAGACAGACGTATTGACTGCATTATTGAAAAATGCAGAAAGGGTAGTATCACACAGAGTATGTGAGTTAAACGAAAAAAGATTATCATTCTTCTTCTAACAAAGTTTACTTATGATCTATACATATAATGACTTCTGATAGAACTAAAGCCAGTTTTTCCTGACATTATGTGCAACTTTGAGAAATTTGTAATGAATAATACATGCAGCATTTCACCTGAGTAGATGAAGTGATGGTTATACAATAAATAAGTGACCCCTTTTTCAAAGACAAGTTTTATATTAACAAAGGCAGTGTTATCAATGTTTAGTTCCCAAATCAAGGAAATACTGTATATATTATCCAAACATCACAAAGGACATAACTACATGTATCAACTGACAGTAAACCCCTCTCTATCACTGTTGCATATATATGTATTATAAATATCTTAGGTACTAGTCAGACTAGTCAGACTAGCACCTTCACCAGTGATGTTTCAAATATGGAGTGCAAAGATATAATTTACAAACCTCTATACACAACTTGAGCAGCCTTGTAGAAACAATAAGAAGCCAATACAAGATTTTGATGAAAGAAACTGCTAGCTGCAGACATTCCTCATCACTGTCTGGACCACTTTGAAAAGAAAGGAAATCTAGCGCTTCCATATTTTGAAAATCAACATTTTATCTTACTTTTGTGGTTTCATCAGTTCATGATTAAAAATCAAAGGAAGGAATCAAAGTTGACAGGAAGTTTGGTTTCTTACCAAAGTGAATTCTCAAATCGTCGAAAAAGCTTACATTTTATTCAGCTCAGAAATTATCAGAGTTTAATATCAGAAACAATTTATTTTCAAGGTCACAGCTTTAGCATTAACATGCTGTATTCATAACTTAAGAAACTAAGAAGGGAAGGGAAGATTTGCCAGAAAACTAAACCTTTCAAAAAAACATTGCTTTATTATTGAGCAGGTAAACAAAATAAATGGATATATGACAGATTGAAAATAATTAATTTATAGTTCCTCTTCCAAACAGGACTATAAAAATTGGTAACTCTAGAAGTTAATCTAGTAATACTTATACTGATTTTTATTTATCAATAACAATAATCACCTTATGGTTGGAATGAAACCAAGCAGGAGATCAAGTAGAGCTGATAAGCACTTGTGTTTAATAATATTCTGAAACTAAAGTCAAACATAAGCAATAATTAACAAAAATTTACATCACTAAAGGAAATTGTCAATGAACCTTACAACTAAATATTTGAGTATTCAATCAATGAAATACAATGAACCACAATGGACAAAGTGGCATGAGAGTGGGAACTGATATGATTCAAGATAGTCAGACATTTATATGTATGTTGCTACCAAGAAGAAATTGATCTTTTAAAGGAACTAGATTATACAGGGGAATAACATTCATTTTTTCAGCTTGCTTAAAATTTAGTGCTTTTTTATGTCACTTTTACACCTGAATTTTTACATCAGCTCATAAACATACCTGATGAACCGCTGTTAAGGCTGATGAGCATGAAATGACCTAGGAGAAAAAATACTCATTATGTGTGTATTCTGAGTACTTGGTAGCAGTGATTTCTGTACCACATACCTTAGTGGAAATCCCATGATTAAGATAAGATAATATCAACGTGCTTGGTGTACTGCCAAATGTAGCTTGTTGAACAAGGCATTCTGGACAATCATGGCAAAATAAAAACAAAAATTAAAAATTAACATCAAAATAAATAAGTTTCATGAGTAATTATTAGGAAAAATCTCAATAACGCTTCAATAGACTATCGAGCAAACAAGTTTCGAGAAACAGGAACTTAATCAGCGAAATGTTGTCACCTTACAACAACATCCGCATCAAATTTTACATCTTTATAACATGAACTTTGAAATTCAAATGACCAGCCAATGGCTATTTTCGCATGTAATTACCGTATTCACACCAGTAACGATAAAATTGGGTGGAGGAGAAAGTTATATCGATATCTTAAGAATAAAACGAGTACTGAAAGTTTAATCACATAGCATCATATTGCAATAATTTTCAGTTTCGATCAAAACGGGGCGTCATGACAGACGTTTCCCCTGCTTGCTTCATCAATATTTAGCATAAACAAAAAATTACCTGCTAGGTCCTGAAGTTCTTCGTTATCTTTCCCAGCCAGCTTTTTCACTTCTACTAGCCACTGTAATGGAGTCCATCTTCCTCTCCAAGCTCGAAGTAGAATCTCCGTGTTGACCACCATTTTGAAAATCTATTCCTTAGTAACCTGGCAATGTCCAGCTATATCATGTAAGAACACTCATACTATTTACCTCTGTCATGTTATACTCCTGAAATTTCAAAATTCCTAAGAAAAAAATCATCGAAATTTTTAAAGGTTCCTTAAACTTGTTGTGCAGTTTATAAAACTCCGCGTGAATCTTTTTTTAATATGATACAAACTCAGGAGGGTAATGGGCTCCTGAAGAACTTCGATGCTCTGAATTGCACGGCATCCCTTCGTTTGCCCAAGCATACTTTCTTACGTGATAGACAGTAATACACTTCTGTCAATTCATTTATCTCAGAGAGAAGCAATCAAACTTACCAAACTTATTTTGTCTTTTATTTGAAGGCGGCTACGTTGTCTTATATAACTATACGGTACGAAACCGTTTAGGGGAATGAAATACCTAAACAAGAACAAATCTTTCAGTTGGTCGGGGAAGCTGCTGCATATCCTTAAAAACCATACCCTGATGGGCGGCATACATACTGTACCGTTCAGGCCAAAGAAATAGTGCCTCGGCGGTACTAGGACATATTTGGGATGCCATGACACTTCTTACTTAACTAATGAAACAGGAACAAGAGGAAGATATTTTGGACAGATCGTTTCTGATCGTACAATCCGGAAAGACTTTTGCCTGCCTTTTTAATCAACAAACTCTGATTTCTTTTCTCCTATTTTTACTTTACAAATTGATAAGACAATACTTTTCTGACAGAATGAGTCTTTCGAATCTTTATTCGTTTTCAGATGAATATATCTGGTCCTCTAAGTGCTAATTTACCAGAACACATTCCATATTGTTCAGTAGTGAACAGAACATCTGCGATCACGATGACCATAAAACGCTTAATTAATCTTGCTGTCCATTAACACTTTGCGTACCAATGAATATCGACCTCAGCATGCACTGTACAAAGGAATCATCTAAACCGCTTTTCACACAGTTCAAACCCCTCTGAACAGCTGCTCAACAGTGGTTTCGAGTTGTGAAAAGAAATCAAAGTTGGCGTAAAACACTGTTTTCTTGGTGAGGCAGCCATGCGCCTAAACGTATGCATTTTTTGTCGAAAGCATACAATATAACAATGAAAAGGAGGGTTAAGCCATATCAGCAAGTACAATTTACACGCACGCAAGCATGACTCGAACTAAAGATCGTTCGATCGTTTACTTATCTTTTCCCCTGAAAACCTTACGGTCTCCACTTCCTTCACAGAAAAGAGTTAATTACCCATAGCCTAAAAATACGCGAATAACTTTTACAGTAACCTCGACTTTCCCTTACGTATCTTTTATGTTACACTAATCACTCAAAAGTAGACAATGAGCGTAGATTTCTATCCCTCAAGGTAAAAAAGTGAGCCACTTTTTCTGCACTTGAAGGCTTGGGGTGATGAGCAGTAGAGTTGCTCTGGAAAAACGGGTTCTGTTTTTCTGAAAATGATATTTTTATCCTCTTTTTCATGAAAAACTAGTTGAATTGTGCTGTATAAGTCGAGAAGCAGATGCCTATAACTTTGAGTTTCGTTCAATCGTCGCCACAGAAAAGGTCTGACACTTGATTCTTGTAGAGGAAGATGTTGTAATCAATGTGAGGTGGCTCGTAGGGTTATATTGTGTTGTGAGTTTCAAAATAAAGGGATTTTGTTTTGTTTGTATTGTATGTTTGTGTGCTACGGCCGGAATACCTTGTAGTGTATATGAAAACAGAGGGTCCTTCGCAACAGCGAATTTTAGAGGAACGCAACACAATACTGCAACAAGGGTAAACTTTTTGGAGGGCAATATGTTTGTTATTATAAATAGAGCTGAATCGAATCTGAATGATATTGGGACGCGCTCCCAGTTGAAGTACCTAACGGCGCCGCAACACACCAACCATATTGCTAAGGATTATTTTTGGAAATGTTTTCCATCCTATTCATTTTTTCTATTGAAAACATCTGAAAGCTTTATCACGATAATTCGCTCGCTTATGCAAAGCAAATAAATAAACAACGCAATATTTTGAGTTATTCAAAAATATTTCGCCAAATTTTTAGCTCGTGAGGACTGTAATTCCTCGAATCAGGTGACTTACAAGAAGACTAAGAAGAAACCTTCCACGTTTTCATCATCAAACATTGCGTTTTCGGTAACTCAAACGCTGTATCATTATTTCAAGAATGAGTCGCATATCCTTAAGAAGTTTAGTAATACGGAAATACTAAATGAGTGCATTCGTGGGAAATTTACAAATACGGACATTTGATACCTCAGCGGCTTGCGCAGATATAAATATTGCCCTACAATATGTGCACAACAGAATGTTTATTCGCGTTAACGACAAAACACAAGAAAAAAACAGCCCAACAAAGGAGATTTATTTTCCCGCCTTCGACCACCTGTTGCAGTACACAACACCACCAGCCAATGAAATCTCGTCATTTCTATTTTTATCCAATCATCGTTGTGCTCTGCCATCTTTCCTAAGCCTACACGTGGACACACGATGCAGCTGACTGCAGTTCACAGCCTTTGTTATGCTACATCCGTAACAATGGCACTTGTTACAATACATGTCAGCGATAAAGGGGCGCGAACCACGCGTCAGCCACGCGGGCAACAATAACAAGGTCTTTTGTTTCGACAAGGCGCCGAAAATGAAAGTTTAGGCTCTAGGTAACCACAAGTAATGAGCATAATTTGAATTTCATATTCTTTCAAAGAAGATCACCTTTTATTTACATTTCTTTTCTTTCGACAAGGCTTTTATTTTCATAGACCTGCCCCGAAAGGGCCACAGAATGGAAAATTCAAGGGTCTTGTACGATTTTACAGACGAACACAGCGCGAGCTTGGCTCTTCGTGAGATGAACATTTTGCGAATGGAGAACTGTTTCTGCGATGTGGTTCTATCAACGGAAGAAGGAGAGGAGTTCAATGCTCACCGGCTCGTTTTGGCCTCTGTGAGCGCGTACTTTCGAGCAATGTTTTTAACAGACATGAAAGAAAGCCATGAAACAAACATCACAATAAGAGGAGTAGAATCACAGGCTTTGAAATCCTTAATTGATTTTGCCTACACTTCGACATTAAGAATCACTTTCTCCAACGTCCATTCCTTGCTTTCAGCGGCTAGCCTACTTCAGTTTCTAACGGTGGAAAACGCTTGCTACGATTTTCTCAGAAATAGCATCAGCACCAACAACTGCCTCGATATTTGGAACTTGGCCGATCTGCACGACTGCACAGAACTTCTGGATCTAGCGGAGAACTTCATTCGCTCCAACTTTGTGGCAGTTCTCAAACTGGGGGATTTTAATTCTCTAACGGCGAAACAAATTGTGAAATTGTTTTGTCACGACAAACTCAATGTCCCGTGTGAAAGTGTCGTACTCTTCGGAGCACTGGAGTGGGTTAAGTACGATTTGACCAATCGGCTCACAAATCTCGAAGAATTATTAACCCATGTCCGATTTCCTTTGATGACTCGGAAATTTTTGATGGACACGGCCGCAAGAGAGGAGCTTATCATGAGCAGTTCAGCGTGCCGACAATTTGTTCTAGAGGCGATAGATTATCATCTGATCCCTGAGCGAAGGACAAAGAACCGAATCACGCGGGCGATCCCGCGGGAAAGGCTCAGCCGACTGCTCTATGTGGTTGGAGGTGAAGGTAGGGAAACCCTATTGATGTGGTTAACATTAGCAATATTTAACATAGGTAATGTTTCTCTTTGGGATACCTTGGCTCTAGATGGGATAATAAGACTCTCCATCGAAAGGTCAAGCCACCAAACAAACAAAGTTTAGTTAACGTGACTTCGTCACGTCACGGCTCACATTTCAAGTTCGTCATTCGCATGCACTCATGTTAAAAATCGCTATCCCTTAAACCAACCTTGTTCTATCATTTCGAGGTTTCCTTCTATTCTTCTACTTCTTCTTCTTCTCCTTTTTCCTTAATGTATTATACCAATTATCATTTTCATTACTGTTATAATTATAATCGTTATTTGGTCTCTTTCTCTCGATTTAATGTATATTTTCTAATGCCTCGAAGGCGCCTGAAAACGCAAAGAGAAGGAGCGCAGAATTCCATGATTGAGGTCATATGTACTTATTAACTGAATGGGAGGGCCGGATAGGAAAATATTTGGCTGAGGCAAGAGAAAATATTTGGACATTATTTTCGCTTGTCACTGGGGGGTAATAACGTACAGCGAGGTCTGTGCGTTGTGGATCCAAATATTTTCCCGTCCGGCTCAGTCAACCTTACTCAGTCAATAAACATCCTATCACATTCACATTACTGTCGATCTTCCCTTTAATTTTTCCCCTCCTTCTTTTAGCTCGCAACTCGCGGGACCGTACGACCCTCATACGATCGAGGATTTTTGCCTAATACTTTTCAATAAAAGTGCAGTTAGGGCCGTAAGGTTCATGTGATATAACCTCTAACCTCGCCTCATGTTAGGAATTTTAAGAAGCTTGCTGAAACATGGATGATATAGTGTAAGATTTGAGCGTCTCATGTTGTAAAGAAGGATTTTGAAGCATAAGACGTAAATCTGCAACCTTTGATTATTTTTATTAGGATAAGAAATGAAAAACCGAAAAAACAAAAACAAACAAAAATAAAAACAAAAGGGCTAAAGTCCATTACTCTCTTGGCCGTGTTGAATAGATAAAGATTGTTTTTAAAGACCATAAACCAAGTCAAATATCGCTGTTGTGGTTGTAGAAGTGCCAAAACCGTATCCTGAATAAGGCCTCGTCATAGTGCATGCAAAATACACCTCGAATATACCAACAATGAGTTCTCTAAAGAAGAAAAATTGAAGAAAGAAGCGGCTGAGGGGTAGAAATGGGTTTGACGTAGATAACCGATTTAGATGGAACCACTAATTAATAAAGTAGAATTGACACTTGTGATGATGGAGAGTCTATAGAAGAGTCATCATCGCAATATTCGATATTTTACATTGAAAATCGCAGGGGAGGTGATTAAAAATTAAAAATAAACTCGTCTGAAAAAAAAAAGTCTGTATCGACTTACTTATTCATGACGTCAAAGGGCTTTGTATTTTATTGTCTACAAGAAGGATCAAAATTCATAACCGAAAATGAGTAGATTCCAGCCAGGTGGTATGGCATGCGTAATGCCTTACTTAATTTAGAACTTGATGAAATACAATAACTGTTATTTGTGATTTCAAATTTCTGCCATTCTGCCGTTCATGTCAACTGTACTCACGAAAAGTAGGTTGAAATTCTCGGTCCAGACACGTTTCGTACCACGCAAAACTTAGGCTAAGCCACCTTTCTCCCGGTGCTGACGTTACTCCTTGTTCAGCGCCGGTCAAGGATCGAGGTTACACCAAGATTTTTGTGTAATAGTGCTATGCATGTACAACCTTTCACGCTTAGGTGGATGTGCAGCAAGAAAGCAAGAAGGAGAGATGAAAAAAGTAGATGTGGTGGGCAATAGTAAAACAACCAATTTAAAAAATGAGACTTTTTCGAGTGAAGTATGAGGCTACGGCTATTAAGTTTCCTAATCCTTTAGTCACTTAAAACTGGACTTCACCCCACATTCTTACATTTCACGTTCTCAGAAAACCGCAAAGTCCTAAACAATGTGGAGTACTTTGACTTCAACGAGAAGAAATGGCGCGTCATTGCACCCATGATCATTCCACGAAAGTTTGCTGGCTCAGTGATACTTGATGGTCAATTGTATGCTGTAGGAGGAATTAACAGAGAATACGCTGACCTGGTGACCGTCGAAAGTTATAATCCCTGTGTGGGGCAATGGACATCTGTTGCGTCACTCAATAAATGCAAAGGTGATTAACGAATGCCAGAGGCATTATAGTGTATCAGTTTAAATTAGCTTTGGCTTTCGTCGCTTGGTGATAGGTTTAGAAAGTTCGTGCCATCCTATCCACAAAATTTCAACCAATCGCAACTCGGTCAGTCGTAATTTTCCGTATTATCACTAGTTTGCTTGTATTCACTCTCAATGTTTCCTTTGGCTTTCTGTGTTATTTTCCTTTCATCTGATTGGCTGATGCCAAATCGTTGATTTTTGGTCTTACGCGGAACTCAGTCAAAGCGAAAGTCGGCAACTTTACCTATCTATTACTTTGATCCTAAGAAACTGATACCAAGAACTTCAGTAGGAAAATAGTCATGTTTATACCGTTGTTTGTTCTTCTATCTCAGGTTCTTTAGCAGTGTCCGTTCTGGAGGGTTGGCTGTACGCTGCTGGAGGATCACACAATGGTTCCGCTCTCAAGAGCGTGGAGCGTTATGATCCGATCAAGAACGAATGGACTCAGGTAGCCAATATGCGCCTTCCTAGGAGCCACTTTGGAATGGCACCTCTGCATGGGCGCCTGTACGCCGTTGGCGGGTACTGTGGGATTTCCGAAATCGAACATGTGGAATGTTATGATCCAATGACAAATAAGTGGTCCGATATGAGCAGTATGAACAAGTCCCGGATGAACCACGCTGTGGTGACATTCAGTGATCGTATTTACGTTGTGGGGGGCAGTAACAGTGTTGGAATCCTAGATTCCATAGAGAAATACAATCCTGACTTAAATTTATGGCTGATAATCCGCAACACGATGGATCCGCGCAGCGGAGCAGGAGCCGCTGTGGTGTTGGGTGGAGAGGAGGGTGCGCAAGAGCTTTTTATCATCGGTGGTCACGACACCCACAATAGAAATACGAATTCTGTGAAAAAGTTGAATCTGAAGTTTGCTGATTACACGACAGCAAATGCACCATGCATGAATTATCCTCGCGTACACGCTGCAGTAGCGTGCGCTTAGTAAGTCAACGTCCGTTCACAGTGGGCGTGTGTAAGATCTTGGAGAAAGGAGGAGGTGGCCCATTTGGAATCTGTTGGCAATCTTTTTCAGTCTTTTGCCCTCCGGCCAAGATGACTGGGAACCAATTCAATGTCTGCAATTTTCTCCGCATTAATCTACGTCATAAACAATTAAAGAAACCAAATAATTTCAAAGTTATTATGTGTCGAGTCAAACAGAGAAGTACATGGTGTATGGATATTTCGTATGGGTCCCTGTAAGCACTTGATGCTCTCACGTAATTTTTTATTTGACTGAAGGTTGCAGTTCTTTGGTGTTTTTAAAAAGAGGAAACTCCTAACGCCGTTCGAGCAGCAGATAGTGACTGTGCTAGAACAGATAGATTCAATTCATTAGTGACGAACACAAGCAATTTTAACCATCGCTGCTCACCAATCAGAAAAGAGATAACCGAAGTTATAGAACTGGCTCTTTACAAAATTGTTGCGAGGCCTGGGTATTACGGTAAGGTAGGCGGGAAGGATTTACTATATTTCCTGAAATAATATTGGTGAATTTTTAATTATTTGAAATAGTTTCGGTCAAATAAGGAGGTTGGTTTTCTTCCCTGCCAAACATAATCCTAACAAAAGGAAAAAGCAAAAACTGCACTCTACTCATTTTAATTACCATTTTATTACAACCGTTTTGAAATCGCAAAATTCAGTCGCTCAGATAAAGGATTTCTTTCGTCTATGCAAATATTTCATTGACCCATTAAAGAGCAGGTTTGTAGGTTACGCAAGTCGTTTTTCATTTTTCTTCATTGGTTCCTGAACTAGCCTCGAAATCTGATTGGTTGTTGTATCTTGGTAAAGCTTTCGCGTTCGCTGGGAAAAAGATGCGATTCCGCGCAAAAATGGTGCGTTTCGTGAATAAATCGTACCAATGAGAGCTAATCAGATTACGATGATCATTATTGATTTCTAAATGGATGTAGTAAAAGCTTGTAACAGCGACGTCACCAAGTTCGGTAAGCATATGTAAACTTTGTTTACTCTCTGGGACAAAGGAATTTCATTCATTCAATATCTATGCGAGCGGCAACAGGACATAGGCTTGACTGATGAAGTAAAGGCCATAGGTCACCAACATGAAGGGTTTGGGTTTCTCTTCTTTTATTTTTACGTATGAATGGTGTGCATTTCAAATTAATCAAAATCATTTAAGGGTGCAAATATCTGTGTGTGGGGGAATGGACATCTATCTATCTGCAAACTAGGTGATGACTATGAAGATTACTCTTGCAATTCCAGGAAGTGTTACTAACATGGGGTAGTTTATGCAAAAATATCAATTTTGTGGAAGAAAATTTTTAAAAAAATTGCAAGGATAAGTATGGCAGAACTTACAATTAAATTAAGTCAAGTAAATTATTTTCACTGTTTAAAATTGGTTAAGAAACAACAAATACCATTATGTATTTGGGAACTTTATTGCTTCTAAATTTACCAATAAAAGACTATCAATACTTACTAGCAGCCTCATTTGATTTTCTTCACACCAAAACCTTAAAAATGAGAAAACTATGGAAAAACCAAAGTTATAGTTTAACCCTTTAACTCCCATAAGTGACCAAGAAAGAATTTCTCTTCACAATATCAATACAATATCAAGCAGACAAGTGATGAGAATAAAGAAAAATATCAGTTAGAGGATTATTAGTTGAGACAATACCAAATTCTCAAAACTAACATCACAAGAACTGTATGGCAGACAGTAAGGAGAATTACCAATGAGATCTTGGGAGTTTAAGGGTTAATAAAGTGTATATACACTACAAACATCACCAATTCAAAAGTGACAATGTCTTCAGTTTTAAGTACTATTCAAAACAAATTTGTTAAAAAAAAAGAACAAATCCACTTTAATAAACAGAGAAACATAAATGGTGGGTGCAGAGAAAAGGGACTAAATTTCTCACAGCTAACCTAAAAACCAATCAACTCATGAAGCTTAGTATCCTAGTTTCATTGCTAAAGATAAAAAATTTTGCCCAATATTAAGATTAACATATTCAAATTATGCACCATTCTGACTTGATATGAATGGCTCTTTATTTCCCTTTGAAACTATTGTAGGAATTAACCCTATGAGCCTGAGGAGGAAAAAAATTAAAGAACACCCCATAAGAGCCAACCTACAAGAGGTTTAGCTTATCTGTAAATGTGTCAGCCTCTATGACAGAATTAAAAGGCTGTTGGGCAGGAGTCATACTTTATGACTTAATTTCACTGGCTAAAGGATCAACCTTATTTAATGTAAAGACTTTACTTATCATTCACTAATTGATCTCTATCAGGGGGAGGGTATACCAGGGCTCATTTCCTACACAGCAACTGTTGTCCAGGCTAACATAATTGTGGATAACTGGAGTTCATTCAATAAAAAGATGAATGGTCAGAGTAATTTCTGAGAACAAATAAATGATATTATTAGTATTCTTTTTTAACCAGTAAGTAACTCTTCCTTACTAAATTATAAAGAACTACTTTAAAAGATGACCTTTGATAAAAGTTTTTTCTGTCTTGTTAACTGATTGGGATATAAGTGTTATTTGCTAGTAATATGGGCCTGCCAGTCAGAAGCTTCCTAACTTTAGATATGTGGGAAAAGAAATCCACAAATAACATGTAGAGAACCACGAGTCAATTCAATGTATGAACATCCATTGATTTTGTGCTCTCTTTTAAAAGATAGGAAGAAAAATCTATTTGTACACAGAGAATAATCATCTAAAATGAATACTCTCAAGAATTCATTATTAAAAAAAGACTATCCCAGCATTGCTCTTAGAAGTCCCTTGCATCATTCCTTAGACAGGTTCTCACAAAACAAATTCAACATTTATGTAGCTGCTCACTACCCAATCCCTGACATTCTTGTAGCACTAGGGTATTCATTCTAATATATTACAAATACAATCTTCCTCTCCCAAAGATAATCCACATTTAATTGGCAAGTTACTTGTGATGGCTGACTGGTCACCAATCAATAGTTAAGATCTGCTTTCACATCTTCTAGTTCCCTTGACAGATTTGCTACTCGCTTTTTCCATGAGTTCACTTGTTCTGAAATGAAAAACAAACAGACTTGTAAACAGAGACAAAAAGAAACAATGACACCTGGTTTGCCCCAAGTTATGCAGAAGTCTCTTTCCATTTCTATGGGTGGAAGAAACTTCTGTCTTAAGCTTTAAACCAAAACTCAAAACTACTGAAAACAGCTAGCTGCCTGTTTCAGCCCTTTTTTCCAAGACAATGAGATCAGCATGGAAATCTAACCATTACTTCTTCACCCATACTGTAAAGTAATCAGAGTGCGCACTAAATGGTATATGTGGTTTCTTACGTTTCAATCTGTCCCGTTGAACCACTAGAATCTTGATCTCAGCTTCATTAGCGATGGCCTCTGTTTCCAAGTTCCTGATTTGTTGCTCTGTGGTCTCAACCTTGTCTTCAAAGTATTCTTCACGTTTAGAGTATCGCCTGTGCTTTGATTCTAAATTAATGAGTCTTACAGTGGTAGAATCAGATTCTTCACTGAGCTTGACAATCTTGGATTCAGCTGTATTCAACCTTGCAAGAAGCTCACTCAGTTCAGACTTCATGCAACTGTACCTGACCTTTGCCTCAGCCAAACGCTCCTCAGCTTCATCAGCTTGTCTCTTTTTATCTCTAACCTTTATCTCAAGCATGACAAGTACATCACTGACTTCAAATTCTTTAGATTCAAGAGACTTTCTGATCTTTTCGCTCTCTTCTGCGATCTCTTCTGTGGCTTGGTGACCTTGTTGCTTTTCCTTGAGTTGCCTGTAGCTGTTTGCCAATTCCTCCTTTTTATTTTGGATCCTTTGCTTAAGTACCTCCACTTCATCATCAGCCAGACTAGCCCTTTCCTCTGCTTGCCTGAGGAGGCGTATCAGGTCTTTATATTTGTTCTCTGCCCGTTTGATGTCCTCTTGAGTTTCTTTAGCCTTTCTTTTCAGTGCATCCATGTTGTAGCCAGAACCAAATAACTATCACACAACAACTACAAGCACTAGATGGCACACACCCTGACTGTGGAAAAAAAGAAAATAATTCAGTAAGTACCAGAACTTTCTGAGGCATCATTAAGAAAAGAAAACATGGCTAATCTCAATTGAGGTAACTTAACTGTGTAAAAAAAAGGGGGGGGAGGTGTTAGAGTTCTTATTTTGCTGTTGAACCAAGTTTTTAACAAAAAAAAATTAAAACTGGAATGTCAAAAGTAGATTATAATACATAACATGTGGTTGAATATTTAATGCATAACCACCCAAATTAAAAAAAAAGGAGAAACATAAAAATTCCTTCTCTCCACACTCTTTGGGCTAAGTTTTTAATCAATGACATACATAATGTTTGCCCCCTAGTTAGGTTTCACTTTGTGTAGAAAATTGACCTTAGTGATATTAACACCAACAACCGTGACCTGTGAGGTTTGGGAACATTCTGTCGGAAGAATATAGCCTTCAGGACCCAGTTGTTCAAAAAGTGGATAATGCTATCTAACAGATAAATCACTATCCAGCAGAAAACTGTTAAGAAAATGTACTGAGCTATCCACCAGATAGCAATTTATCCAGTGGATAGCATTATCTAACCTTTGAACAACCAGGGCCAGAAGTGAATTATACCAAAGGGTATCAAGTACACATGAATGAAAAGTATGCAGAGGCAAGCTAATTCAAATGTTCCAAACCCATTAATGTATTATAATTTTCACAATGTTTGAGGGTCAAAAGTACACACACACACACACACAGATTCTGACTTCCCATAAAAGGAAAGAAAGTTTCTTATGGATTATGTAGTAGATGTTCATAACAAACTATTGCAGTAAAATAACATACAATATACTGTCGTGCTCAAAAGGTTACTGAAGTTAAGTTTAAACAATTCTTGAAGTCAATTACTGGCTGAACAGTGACTATTCAGAGAAAACAAACTTATGTATCAGCTACAACAGCTCTCATCCAAATAAGCAATCAGCAAAGGTTGAGTAAAAGTTTAAATATATTGGCTCAGCGGGAAAACTAATTCAAGACATGTAAACCCCTACACCGTAGTCGGTAGACATCACACTAAATGCAGATGCTAAGCAAAGTATCAAACGTATGCTCTCACCAGACTTCAGTCTCAGAGATTTAACCTTCGCAACTTACATGAAAACCACTACTGAAGTTCTGGCTTTTTAACTAGCCCGGCCAGGTTCTAAAAAGAGGGACATCGCGAAGATAAACTGCATTTTAAAAGTAATCTTTCCGTCTATCCAGAAACCTTTTGAAATTGAACATGGCGTAGCACGAGCCATAAAACATTACTATGAACTGGCTGCCAAGACAAATATCGATCGGATGTATTTCCAATCCTGTGAAAAAAACGGCTCCCGTATCTTAATCACAAGGAGTTTTAATTGTTAAATTTACCTGTAATGCAGAAGAAGTAGCCAATTTTACAGCGTGTTATCCAAACGCCACCAAATCTGCAACCACACCTCGCCTCTCAAGACTGGGTGTGCATAAATTAGGTGCACTCGATTTCATGTATATATGCTGAAACCAAGTGTCGCCATTCAGAAATACGGGATGTTTCCCAGTTGATAACTTGTGTTCTAAAATTTTGTAAGGGATAGTATTTGACAGCTTCGGAAAATAACCTTTCCCGGGGGGGAGGAAAAAATGTTGCTTTCCTTTAAGTTCTAAACTATCAGTTCGACTTCAGCAATCAAGGGAAGATCTATAGGTTTGTTTTCTGGCGTAATAAAAATCCTGGAAGAGTTGCACGAAAAAAAAAACAATCTTTCATCTCTAACTTTCCCTCATACGATGTACACCGAAAAGAACCAAAATTAAGTGAAGCTTTCAATAACCTTTCCTAAAGCAAAATGGTTATAATAAGCTTTAGGTAATGCCTTTGCGTCGAAAGCTCTGAAGGTCCAGCTTTCTGGAAATTGAAACACAACAGATCAATTTTAGATTTTTTGATGTAGACCTGGTTTGTTCGTGGTCTATCTCACAAGATTGTCCATAGAACCATTTTCAGATTAAATATTAGTTCGGCTATATTTTGATATTTTCAAATTTTCTCTCCCTTAGGTGCCCTGTTTGCACCTTTCCCTTTTGGGTTTCCAGCTGCTATTGGTTATTCTTGTCATTCGTTTGGTATAGTTACTAATTAATTTAGTGTGTCTTGCCCAAGAAGAAAGAAAAAAAAATTGGAGCGGCGTTTGGGACTCCTAAAATACAGTTCTTGCAACTATTCGAGTGGTTGACCTCGAGGAAAGAAAATTTTAAGCAGGTGTGAGTAGTTTCATGGTGGATTGTTGTTTATCTATGCCCAAGAATCAGTCGTGGCAGTTCATGACCAATAAAGTAAAACTTTACCAAATAACTTAAAATTTCGGCCAATTTAAAAGTGCACTACAGAGCTCAAGTGGACATACGGATGCTACGCCCCTGGAAACACAAACTGGCGACCTATTTCAGTAAAATTTCAAGAGTTAATTTTCATCCCCACACTATGTATTTGTTTAGTGTGAATTCAGGCTACAAAGTTTCTCAAATGTTATTAGAATATCTCTTCCCACGCTCTATCACAAAGCAAGACGTTGCATGCTTCTAAACTGTTTTAGTAAAATCACTTGAAGTCTTGGAGAAAGATACAAGCTGCAGAAACAAACCCGCCGCTCTATAGGCCAGTGTGCCTACAGCTGCAATTTTCAAGAGTGTTGTGCTAACTCCACGTGCAAGAAGGGAAAGAAAGCCTTCTTATGCTACTTATGACTTTTAAGAGACACAATGGCTCGAAATAATTTCCCGTTTCTATATCAGATGGGTACTTAACCAATCATAGCGAGCGGATTATTTGAAGAGAGAATGGATTATTTTTTCAACCGGCAAGTTTATTAACCCGTTTGCGGCAGGTGCTTATTAAGTCCACGAACTAGGAAACAGCCTCTTGAGTAACTCCTTTTCTTGACATGCAAACGGTAGAAATGAAAAAAAGAGAGAATCTGAGGAAAGTGAAGAAGAGAAAGAAAAAGCGAAAAGAAGCTGATAGCTTCTGAGATTGGCCGTCAGGGGGAAGCCGGATTATAATTTTTGATATCTTTTTTTATGATAAGAAACATCGAAAACTCCATTAGCTTCTGAAATTTTGAAGCAGCATTCGCATTTTTCCGCAATCGTTATTGAGATGAAAATATTGGTGTCTGTTCGTCTAAACTTCCTTGCGGTCACGAGATGATAAGTAAATGTGACCTCCGCTGTTCCTAAGAATGGAAGCAAAGCCGAAGAAAAGGCCTTATTTCTGTAAGGTATAATTTGCTATTGAACATAACTTGAGCAGTTTTTTTAAAACATTCTTCAACTAGTATTTATTTCTGGGGAAAAATAAAAACTAAAAATCCGAAGCCCCAAGGTCGGTTTATCTGAATCAACTCGAAGTAGTTTTCCACATCGGCTTAACACGTAATTTATCGGCTTCCCTACGTTCATCCAGTTCAGACATAGCACAAAGTAAACAAAAAAAATGGAAAGCGGCAAAATGTTCTTTGCGCTTTATAGCTGACTCACCTATTAACAATGCCACACAGCCTAAAATGGTAAAAAAAAAAGATTTCCTGAGTCTTAGAGAAACGGTAAGCATCTTAATTTAACACTGATTGCTCGAGATAAGTTAAGAAAAAGCGAGCAGGCTCGTTAGGAAATCCGCTTTACATTGAGTCTGAAACACATCCTAAATATCAGTTACGGAAAGGGAGGTCTTACGATTCGTACACCCACACACAGAGAAGGCGCGACGTTGTTCTGCTTCTACAAAGGATCACGTCTTCTGCGATGGTATCAAGCTCGCGAAGGAAATTTTATCTGAGATTATACTCCCTTCCTTTCGAATGACTAAAATTTGGAAAACGGAAATATACGTGAACACTTGAAACGCTCAACAGCTTTTGGTTAAAGAGGTTTTGTGGAGATCTACGTCGAGAATTTCGAATACACATTTTGATATGAATTTTCTCCTCATGATATGTGATTTTCAAGGTGAGTTTAAGAGGAGAGTTCCTATCATTCGATGAAGCACGATCAGTAGCAGTTAACGCCGGCGGAAGAAAAAGGCTCAGATGAATTAATCTTCCGCCCTTTCGGAAGTTTGTGTAGAGGGATAATGATCAAATACAAATGCAAACTAACTACTGATATACAATACGATGGCTACTTAGTACGCCTAACGATGAAATATGAAGACGAATGGACAAGGCATGGACGAGTGGCCCGCTGGCGTAAAGTTTTGGGGAGAAAAGCTGACAGCGGTGTATTCCCGCGTCTTCTTCTCAAGTTGTTATCCAAAAAGTTCTTGGCTCCTGCCGAAAGGTTAAGAGAGCTTTCTTATGAGGATCGCAACGTGACTATATAATAGCTTAGACTGCCGCGTTGTGTTCAGTTAAGTCAACTAATCCAATTATTTTGTAGTGGATACCAGAATTTTTAATCTTTCAAGTTATGCATCTATGCAGTTTTTACAAGATCAGGAGGAATGTACGTGCCTAACACCCATTAACACGTCCCAAACTTAGGTGACTCAACGCAGTAAATTTGAACCATTTGTGATTGCTTGTCGCCACATAGACTGTTCTTTAACACTAAACCCATGACAAGATCATATACTATTCTAAAGGACGCCAAAGACAGACTCTTCCTAAACTGTTAAGTAATAATTAAAAATTTTTCTGTAATTTAGTTAGATAGCAGCTCCACATCACGACACACGTCTTTCTAATATTTTTTAACCAACCTGGTTTATCAAATAAATCCTTCCACTACTTGTAGTACTTGTAGCACCAACTCACTACCCAAGTCAAGCCACTAAATAATTTTACATAAACGCAGTTTTTATAATTCATCGCCCTTTGGATACATTTCAAATTTAAAAAAGCTACAAATTTTGGAGCTTTCCGGATCGATAGAGCCCAAAAACTTTATTGCGTCCATACGCGTGTCTTAAAATATTTGTCTTCGGTCTCACGTAATCAGACAAGTTTCCCTGCGTGGGGACGAACTCAAAGTCGCTTAGCTTATCAGCAAAGTTCATCATGAGCTTCCGGTGTACTCCAGATATCCTACGCTGTCCACACAAAGCATCGAATGCGATTTCCTGTTGTACCACAGCCTGGCCGTGGTCCTTTAAAAACTAAACAAACCTCAGAAAATTAAATTTTCATTTGAAGCAGGTACACTATGCTCTCTCGCGGCGCTGATTTAACGACCCGTAGGCCTATTTTTAGCGTACTATAGGGTATGTTCCACCGCGAGTGGGACGGGTGGAGGCTGATTAAACAATCGAGTCTACTTTTCGAAACGAAAATTCCTCCTTAACTTCTATCATGAAAAGTTTCCTTTTCTGGCACAAAACTCGTAGTTTTTTGGTATTGTGTCCATTAACGAACACTTTTGTTCGTTCCATTTGAGTTTCCTTTTGCATCAGACTCGCGCTCACTGTGGACCAAAATAGATTCTTGTGACAAAAATACTAGCGACGGAAGTTGATCATTAATTTATGATGCTGCCTACAAAAAAAAAATTGTGGAATACAAAGTCCAAGAATAGCTCGGCTGTGACCGCACGAAAATCTTCTCTTTGGAATTCTGGTAACTTCTACTGCGACAATTCCTATGACCATCTGTTATCATAAACACCGAGCACAGAGAAGTAAGAAAGTCAGTAATCAGGTATTCGTTCTGTACTGTTCTAAGCCATTTCAGGTTGAATCCGTAATACTAACATTTCCTCATTGATGTTATTCATAAATACCGCAAAGCTAGCACGTTCTCTCAGTAATAAACGGTTTTATTTTGAAAATACTACTCATAATAGACGCGATTAGCCTCAAGAAGAATGCACAGCTCTTCTCCGTAAATAAAGAGCTATTATTAATTCAACCACGACCTAAAGATCATCTGCCTTTGTACAGTCCTGAAGTCCACACATTCGCGATAAAGCTTGATTTTTTGGCAAATGCCTTTCGCAGGCGTTTAGAGGTCGGTTGCACAGTTTACAACCAATGTGACCGCATAATGCGTGCCCACGAATGTTTATCCCAAGTTAACTGGTTACTTATCGTGGTATAAAAAAAAAAAACATGTATGTTCAGTTATAATTAACACCCCCGGTCACTGTAGCAGGCGGAGGCAACGATGGGAAATAAAAAAAAAAAAATTAATTGATCTGTATCACAGACTGGATGTAAACAACACGCGGTTAGATCCGACAAGGAGTCTGTCTAATGCCGTCGATCACTGCTGTAGCAAAAGTAACAAGAATGGAATCCTAAAAGCATATTAGAAGAGCCGGTCATGTAAATAGCTGGTTCTCACTTTTGACATGTACACCTTAATACGATAAAACGCATTGAAAAAGCAACAATTCATATGTAATGGCTGGTTTATGTATCACTGCATCAGATAGGTTATGGGTCATCAAAACAACCTTGATAACTATCATATTCATTT